GGCGGCGGCGGCGGCGGCGGGGGCGCGCTGGAGCCCGCATTCCTCCGAAGCGCCCGGAGCCCGCGGGGCGACGTCACCGCAGGCTCCGCCCCCCCGTCCCTCCCCGAGCAAAGTAACTCTTGACTAACAGGAGCAGCCACGGCCGAGCATGGAGAGCTGCCGCCGCGGCGGGCCGGGGACGCAGGAGACGCTTTCGCCCCCGAGGTAGTTTGGCGACCGTCCAGAAGGCCATCGTCCGGGCGCGGGGTGAGCGGGCGCAGACTCCCCACGCTCACCCCACGGCGGCTGCGGGGAGGGGGGGTCTTCCTGGCACCTCGCTCGTGGATTTCGCCGAGAGCCTCCCCCCCCCCCCCCCCCGACATCCTCACTCCTTCTCAGGGAGCAGAGGAGGGAAGGCCACCCCTCCCCCCCCCCCCCTCCCGGGGCAGCTCTTTACAAAGCTGCTTGAAACTTCTTCCAAACTCGCCATGGATTCGGCGGCGCCGGCGCTGCCTGCTTTTGTGGCGCTGGTGCTCCTCTCCCCGTGGCCTCTCTTGGGGTCAGCCCAAGGCCAGTTCTCCGCAGGTGAGTGGCTGGGGGGGGGGGGTAGCCTCTGTGTGTGTGTGTGTGTGTGTGTGTGAGAGTGGAGAGGTGTGCGGAGCCCGGACCACCATCCCCAGCCGCCAGCTCCTCTGGCGGGTCCAGAACCAGGAGAAGGGGAGGCTGTGGAGGCGGGGGGTGCCGGGGTCTAGAAAGAGATGTCCTCGGAGTTTGCGTCAGGTGGGGCGCGGGGCACTGGGCTGGCGCCACTTGGCGCAGGTAACTTTCCTCTTGGCGACCCATTGTTTCTCTCGGAGTCTCGTGCGGGATACGGGGCTTCACCTCTGGGCTGAAGTGCAGGGACATTTTCCTTGGGCGCACTGGTGGAGCCTCGGGGTCCGGCGCCACTGAGAAGGGGTGTGGGGGGGTAGGAGGAAGAGAGGAGGAAAAAGTAGTTAGGAGTGCGGGGACGGTTACTCTGTGCCTGGTGGTGCGGGCTTGTGGCTGCTGGCTGCGCCCCCCCCCCCCCGAGTGTTTAAAAATTAAACACACACAATTCCCGAGGAAGCCTTTGTCAGGAGTGTGCAGCCGCGAAGGGACGGAACTGGGCGCGCTTTGCCAGGTGCTTTTTGTCCGGGGGAAATCACCTCCGCGGTCGACTATTGTCCGACGACTTCCCCGTCGTCCCTCCTTCCCACCAACCCCAAGCCTTGGGTCGCTCCTGGCCCAGCTCTACGGACCCGGACTGCTTGGAGACTGTTGCACGCGTCTCTTGGCGGAGTCTTTTAAGATGTTTTGCAATGCCATCGTAAGGATCCGTGCCGAGCGATCGTGGGCCGGGAGCTCAGGGCGCCCAATCCGCAAAGCCTGACCCGCACGCGGGGGACCCTCATGTCCCACGTAGCCATCACCGGGCTGGCTCCGCACCTCTCCTGGGGCCCGCCAGGGGCTAGAATGACCACTGCCCGCCAGGAGAACCCTTTATAACACGGAGAGGAGGCAATCTGGCGGTGTTCCTTTCGTTTGAGCGCTTAGTAAAGCCACTCTAGGAACTCCGGGAGCCCTACTAGCCCTCTTGGGGGGCAGGGAGGGGGGGTGACTGGTCCTGGGATTCCTTCCAGTTTTGTTCCTTGGTGCCTTTCTAGCCTCTCCTGCGGGGGGGGGGGGTTCTGAAGTTTCACCCGGTGAACGCTGGGGAGCGGGCACCCGGTCACCAATTTGCTTCCTTCCCGGTCCTGATAACTTTTCCAGCCAAACCACCCCGGCTCAGCTTGGCTGGCGGGTTGACTGAGCAGATGGCAGCGCAGAGGTGGCCAAGAGGTGACAGAGAAGACGGGAAACGCCACAGCCACACGCCTGGCTCAGCCCGCCGGGTGTGCAGAAAGAACTTACTTTGTGCTTGACAGTGTCTTTTTGGAGACTGCTCGATTTCCTGGGAATAAACTCACCCTGTTGTTGTTTTCCGGGGCAGTAGTGTCTTTTCTTTTGCTCTCCCCTCCCCCATTCAGAACTCCAGAGGAATTAGCCCTCAGATTCGGGTGGCAGCTTGTGTCATCCACTTAGGCAGAGACGATGAAATGGCAGCAGGCAGAGGAAAGGCTATGTGTGGAGATGATGTGTGCCACAGCTCTGCGCAGTGTTTTAATTTAATTCTCTTTGGATTGAACATTACTGCATGCATCTCTGACACACTTACCCGTTAGTATTGGAACCGGGCTTGATGTAACTCATTATATGCAGCAAGTGGGAGTGGGGATCGATTTTTGCAGTGTTTGTAATGGCACAAAGAGCCTGCGCTTGAAAAGGCGTGTAGTTTGTTAATTGAAAGTTTGAACTGTACCAGTTGCATGATTAAACTTACATGTATTCAGCAGCCGCAGCTATTAGTATCTCAACAGTTGATGGATATATTTTCTATAGTAAAGGAACTTTTTTCTTTCTTTCTTGGGCATTACTTACCCTTTAATGAACAAGGGAATATATTTCTTCTATCCCAATGTACTGATGGGCTTTCTGGAGTTTTGTTATCTCAAATAACAATTGTGCTAATGCACATCTAGTTCTAAATGATTTTGTTTTCTAAATATGCCTGACTTTTCTCCTTAGTGACTTTATATTGTATTTAATTAGTAGGCTGTGAAGTCCTAATAATTATAAAACAGGGTTGTCCATAAAAATTGCCACTGTATATATATATATATATATATATATACACACACATATATCTATACATTTATATATGCACACACATATATGCTCAGAGATGGGTGTCTTTTATTCTCAGGTTTAAAAGTCAGATTGTAGACTCTATAGTCTTAAAAGTTCAATCTCTAACTATTTCCATGTTCTGGTTAATCATAAATCATATGAAATTGTACTGTCATCAAATCCTGTCAGTCAGAATTGTTGAAGGACATAGCCTACAGATGAATTAGAGATGATATTTTAAATGATGAACTTTTTGAAGAATTCACATAAGCATGTTTTAAAAAGCTAAAATTCTTTTCCAAATTTGGTTCTAAGTTGTTGTTAAATACTTTTAAATCATACTCCTTAAGGCTATTCACAACCTTCTGAAATTATTGTGTGACTGCTAATGTAATGAGCTTATAAACAATGTGAAAATCAGATAGTTGGGCCTTTGACATATCACAGACACATTTTGCCTTTTAAAATCACAGTTTAAGACTTTTCATTATTGTGACTTCTTTCTTAGCTTTTGGCGTAAAAAGTGTATAACTCCATGGCAAATTTCTTTAAAACCAGGACCTCCTATAAATTTCAATTTGTATTCTTTCATTTTCAGTCATTCTCTTAAAATCTCTGTTAAAACTGGGTCATAGAAATTCAGAAGAGGTTAGAATACAGTATATGTATTGGGTTGTGGGATTATTGCCTCCTGATATCATCCTGTAAGAGAGTGTTTTCTGGAAGAACTCAGGTGACCTACAAAACCAGTCTCAGGGGAGATGACTTGGAAACTCGGCTTTCCCATCTATAAAATGAAGATAATAATACCTGTCCCGATCATTCCAGGTAGTTTTTATGAGGATGAGGCAACATAGTTTATGTGAGCCACCACTGTCAATTGTAAAGCATTATGCAGCTGCCTGGTGTGTAATCATCATACATTAAGGTAGCTAAAGTACCTTAGTTTCAGTGTTTACTGTCCCCAAAGTCTTGGAACGCTCTATTTAGTGATAGTGTTGGCTGCTTAGAATGTGTGATGTGTGTGTGTGTGTGTGTGTGTGTTTCACTAGCCTTTTTCTCTCTTCGTTCTTTCTTTTTATTTGTTTGGGATGCCAGTCCTGGGGCTTGACCTCAGGGCCTGCACGTTGTCCCTGAGCCTTTTTGCTCAACGCTAGCTAGTGCTCTACCGTGTAAGTCAGCTCCACTTCCAGCTTTTTGGTGGTTAATTACAGACAAGAGTGTCACAGACTTTCCTTCCAGAGTGTCATTGAATTAGGATCCTTAGATCTCAGCCATAGCCATACTGATTGTAGCCATAATCAGTATCCACTGATGTCTGTCTAGTCACTCATGTATAAAACAAATATCTTAGATTGCCATAGACCAGTGTACAGCAGTGACAGCACAGTGATTAAGTTATCCTTGAAACAAATTTATTCTTTATCGTCTGTAGATCTTTACATGTGTTAAACTCATGGACAAGCTAGTATCAATATTCCCAGCATTCAGATTAGAGGAAAAATAATGCTTTTAACCATTTTTTTAAGCTGTTAGTTGAACTGTTGGCTTAGCTTTTCCATCTCAGTGTAGAGAATAACATGCAGCTTTTAGATGCAGTCTTCCCTGTGACCTAGAGAGGGACTATTGTCTCTTTAGTATGATGTGAGACAGAGAAAATGCAGCTGAGGATCCTGGCTGTGCTTCCTGGAATGTCACACTGGTAATCCCTTAGGACCTTGCAACCCATCTATCTAAGTAGTGCCACTTGTGTCTGACTTCATATTGTCCCCAAGACAAAACTGTTTTCACTTATTCTTATTATTTACTAGGAAAGCACATTCTAGCCAGTTTGTGTTGAGGATTGCTTTTTAGTTTGCTAGTTTTGAATGGTCACTGTCTTAATGCATTTGGTGCCTTAGTAATGACCACAACTTATAATCACTAGTGATGAGAGGTAAATGGGCATTTCTGGGCTTTTTTTTCTCTTACTTATCCCCTTCTATCTAAATGCTGACTTTCCTAGATTTCGAGATGCCATTTTTTGTGTCTGGCCTGCCCAGACAGGAAGAGGTAGGTTTGGCTGCTATTTGGGTATTGGCATGTACGCTGCTGACAGCTCCTCTCTTTGTGTTTATAAATGGGAATATAAAAAATAAATCAATCCCTCTGCCATTCCAGTCTTCTTCCACACTCCCTCCCACTCATTTCTAGCAACAACCAAGCTCTATGTACATATACACAAAGTGGCAATCTTTTGGCTTTCACCAAAATATCCTTGGGGGTAGGGCAGGACCATCTTGGATTTTCTGCCTCTTCCTACTCTCTAGCCCTAGCCCAGAGCTGACCTGAAGCCTTATTTTATTATTACTTAGCAGGTAATAACTCATATATGAGGTTTGACCTTATGTCTTGATATAACATGGATGTGTCCTTTATTTAAAACTGGAAATAGGACTGATTGATTCTCACTGACAAAAACTAATGCCTCACTCTCCCACGAAACATCATATGTCTAGCAATGATGCTTAAATATATTCATATTTATTAAGTTCATGTTATATAATGCCAGATAGAGCAAGTGTTTTGAGCCCTACTATTTTTGAAGTACATTTTTCTAGTTCTACTGAGGGTGATATTAAGGCCAGTGTAAATCATGTTGAAGGTGGACCTGTGTGGACCATTTCTTCCACTAGCTCTTCATAGAGGAAGAGGAATGCTGGAAGATTGAGAGCAGAAAACCAAGAGAGCTTACAGATTGTTTTTTTCAGACAAAAGGGAACACAGGGTGTGTGTGTGTGTGTGTGTGTGTGTGTGTGTGTGTGTGTGTGTGTGTGTGTGTAATTTTCAAGAGAGGG